AAGTGGTAAATGTGTAAATGATGAAAGCAAGTGAGCAAAACTGTGGAAGAATAATGTTCTGCACAAAACTGCAAACACTTTGTAGACTGTGTAAATTAAATTAACAGACATATGCATAGAGTTTAAACTCAAAAGTCAATTTCTTGAGAGAAATAGAAATTCAGTAAAATTATATCAAAAAGCAACAACCAGCAAAAAAGATCAAATTAAAACCAATAAAATAAGTAGAAACCTCATTTAAAAAATGAGGAAAAACCTAAAACCATCAGAAATGAAATCAAATGTAGATTAAGTGTGAGCCTGATGTACATAAGTTTGCTATTCCAGCAAGATGGAGCCTGAAAGCTTGACTGATTCAGTCGTACTCATGTAGCAGTGAGAGGGTCAAGTCTCCTTTTTGTATAAAAAGCAGTTTAACAAAGTCTCTTATGTATTACATGATGTTTATCATCCAGTAATCAATGTTATCAAATCTGATATGTGACATCCTTAGAAACAGAAGAATAATCACATTTTTATCTTTATTTTAGCTTTTAAACCTTATTGGAATTTTGCAGTTGTTTTAGGTATTTTTACGACCTAAACCCAAAACATTAACAAATAGTTTGTAAGATAAATGTCTAAATGTGAGCCTTATGAATGAGCTTCCACGTAGCCGTGAAATCGCAGCGTTGAACCGGCTGCAGTACTGACAGGACTCTGCTTATTTACTGCCCGCTGACCTGCTGGGTCACTTATTTAATCAGTTATTTTCCGCTAACGTGCCCGTGTGCGAGTTACAAAACTGACCTGCCTGCTGCATGCTACTGAAATTCCAACTCTCCATGGATGCTGCCGGGTTGAGAGCATGCTGCCTGCAGCGTTTGCACGAGCACTACCTATTTATTGCAGAGCAATATAAGCCTGGGCTCGAGGCAGAGTTGCTGTGGAGATTTGCATATTATATTTCACCCTTGTTGTTGGAGTCAGCAGTGAGTGATGGAGGCAAAAAACCCCGAGCTGCACAGGCCGGGCCAAGAACGGGGAACAAGCCTCTGCTAATTTCCTGGCAAAAAAATTCATAATTAACACGTTTGATGTAGAGGCTGCAGTTGTCAAGGTAACTGATGACACCGCATTATCACTTGGCGCTTCTGCACCCTCCATCCTCCCTCTTTCCTCCCATTCATCAAGCAGCCATTGAACAGCTCTTAGCGGGGAGGAATGGGGAGGGTAACCCCAGCTAAACTCATATCAAGCACGTATTTATTCATAGAAGCAAGTTCAGGCACCTTTATTAGTCTGGTATTAATCTCGTAAAGTCAATTACCATAATAGATGATTATGAATTACAATGGGGAGTGCAGGGCTAGGTAAACTATGAATAATAATTGCACATCACGGGGCTGCACAATTTATTTTTCTTTAAAAGGCTCACTTCACTCACATTATAAAAACCTGTGCTCTCACTTACCTCTAACCTCCACATTCAAAGCGTGCAGACAGCCATGGGTATTCTGAGAGTAGAATTACTTTAAATACTTGGTGCTGCTGCTTTTCATACAGACTATTTCTTATAGTTGCAGCGGAAACTCGTTTAATGTGAAGGGCAGTCCTTTAAAAAATATGATGATGTTTTCTAAGTGTATTATTCCACTGCATTTTACAGATGTAAGTGCTTGATAGTATTTACATTTTATGCACATTTGTATTCAGGTAGATCTAATTAACTTAATTTTAGGCTATTTGCACACTCATTGCACATTGCTTTGAAGCTGATGGTTGGTCTCTAGTCGACATTGCTCTCAATGAGAAGTGGGCGGGTCCTGAAATCAACTTTGCCTTCAACATGAATGATGGTGCAACTACCAATGACAATGCAAAATACCACTGACTGAATGATGAGTTGGTAGTAAATATGTTAGAGGGATGCCTAAGCATCTAGTGCATGAAAAGTCGTAGTGATGTGCTATGAGTGAATCACTTCCTGGAAGCAGTAACCACTGTGACATAAGGTGGGAGGGAGTTCTTAAAGTTAGTGATGTGCGGATCGATGCTGAAATATCGATTCCTCCGATACCATTTATGTTCTAGAATCGATTCTCATATTAAAATATCGATATTTTAGTAATGTAGGGTAAATTTGTAGTTTATCATT